CCATGTTTAAATTTAAAAGAGAGCTACGAAATACGTTTTCATACCCTCGAAACCCGCATAAAGCTTGAATTAATCTTAGACTCCTTTAACTATGACTAAACAATCAGTGGCGGATTAACGCATAGGCATTACAAGCACGTGCTAGGGAGCCCCGTTCTCCAGGGGACTTCTTTCCTCGCCTTTGTTTTATTTTCTACCTTCCAAATTCAAGCAACAGAGGGCCTATAATGAGCTCTATGCCTGGGGTCACCGAAACAATTAATTCGCCATTGTTTCACAACATGTAAATGAAAAAAAAAAATTGTAAAAAACTTAGTTTCAAATTGAAACTTGGTTTAATCGTTAGTTTAGGCAAAAAGAAATAATATTTCCCAAAAAGTATCGGTTTAAAACAACAAGATCATTGTTTAAACAATGCTTGTAATGTAAAAATTAACAAATATGGAGTTTTTTAGCTGGATTAAAAAGCGCTCTCCAACAGGAGAATTTATACTTACAGGGTCGGAAAGTTCCCATGGTTCATCGGCCATTAGTGAGAGCGATAAAGTAAGTCATAGAAATCCGTGCGATAGAGAAAGATGGCTACAATGAAGGCATCTAATAGTCACCGCCCATTTCGCCCTTCCACAAATAAAAAGTGGATCTTATTTGTACATACAATAAATAGTAAGTTTTATTGTAAAATTTTAATCATTTAATCAACTTATTAAAAATGTACCCAGGGAAATATTTTGGTACCGCGTTTTCATCAACTTTTTTTCTTGTTTTAAGGAACCCTTTATTAATTTTTGTCCCTTACGTTAACACACCCAGTTTAATTAAATATACGTGCATACATTCCTATGCATATATAATCTCCCTGAGCTTTATCTGCGTACCCATCATTATTTTAGAAGATTAATCCGGACTTCGGTGTCGTAATTTTAAAACGATGATGTAACACTTTCTCGCATGGGCGTTGTAGTACTTATATTCCCTTATCTCGCATCTCGTTCTACGCGGGGACCGTGACGCTGTTTAAATCATACCTTAATAACGCATAATTGGACATAATACTGGTCATTATGGGTTGTTCCTTCAGGCGTTCCAAACTGGTAGTTATTGATTTTGTGTAGTCCGACTTTTTAGTTGTCCCCAATTAATACAACGGATATAAAATTAATAGCCCTATTAAATGGGCCTCTAAATCGCGATTTTGGTCAACTTGCTTGAATTTTTTATATGAGTTAGTTTGGGGTATACAGGGTGAGTCGGCAGTATCGCACCGAACTCCAGGAATGGAACAAATGAAAATCGCACATTTGAGTTTTTTCTTATTATTTTGACGTATAGAATCTATTCCTGGAGTTTTGTGCTGTTCACCCAACTCACCCTGTATAATAATAAGTGCCAGTAATTTTTTTCAACCCCCGGACTGAGGTGAAAAGAAAAAATGAAATAAAGTGTTTTGTTCAAGATTACCCAAATGGGGTGAGAGGTAGAAAAGTTTCTTGTAAAAGTTATAGAGCATAAAATTTTACATAAAAATAATCTACTACTACTATTAAAATTCTACTACTTTTTCTTCTACTATTCCCCTACTTCTACTATTAAAATTAACAGAGTGGAGACTACAAGTTAAGGGATGACATGAGAAATTTTTAAAAAATCGCAACAAGCAGAAAAATGAATGATTTTCAAGTTTTTTCCAGAGAAATAGATATTTTTTTAATTTTTAATAAAAAAGTTAAAACAATTTTAATTTTTTAATTTTCAATTTTATTGATTTAACAACACTAAAACGATTTTTTTCTATACCATTCGATAGATTATCTAAAATAATGGAAAATTGCTTCTGAAACTCTTTTTGACATTTAATTTTCAGTTTGAAATCAATAGCAAACGTAATTTTTTATCTTTGTCGTGGCAATGTCGTAGGAGCTAAATAAAGTTCAAAAAGTAAATAGATTTGTCTACTTACCTATCTCGAATACGCCCCCGAAAACCCCCGTATACCAAATTTGGTGCGAATCTGTTATTTTTTGAAAATTTGGTCGGCCATCTTGTATCCGCCATCTTGAATTTTGCAAAATTGACCTCGAATCCGTGATCAGCGACCCAGAAAACCCCCGTATACCAAATTTGCGGCGAATCTGTTATTTTTTGAAATTCGTGATATCTGCTGACCTTAATTGACCCGTTTTTTGAGGTTATAAAAAGAACCATTCACGTTCGGCGAGGTCTTAACCATATAAATGAACATATGAATATAGAAAAAAAAATTTTGTATTTTTCCTGGCACTTTTTCGTGACTTTTTCTATTTTTAACCTGTTTTTGAGGTTAGGAAATTCCTCTGCTGTGATAGCTCAATTCTGACAACAGACTCGTGATCAGGAAGCAAAAATACTACGGATAATATATGTCACATGAAAAATACAGACAACTTTTTTTTGTGGCTGTGTAATAGAACAAATTCTAAAAAAATCGTCCTCCGATGCTTCCTTGAAAAATCTACCACCTGTTCTCTACTAAATATGTTGCCAAATTCGAAAACGCGCCGAGTTTTGAGTATTTTATAGTCGGCCAGCTTCTTTCTTTCAATATACAGAGTGTCCAAAAACAGATAGACGGCATTTCAAAAAAGTTTAAGAAAAATCGTCTTACTTTTTAATGTTCTATCACTCTCTAAATGTTAGCACTCATTTACACAACACCCTGTGTTTAGAAAAGTTTGTGTTTATGTTTTAACTAAAAAACATAAGTTTTAGTAAAATATCGCATGTTTTGTATGAAGACTTTCTTTACAAAAATCAGTTGTGAAAGAAAAAATCAACTTAAGTTTCGCAGTTAAAAATTCAGCAACATCTTTTGGAAGCCCTGAAATAAATAGGAGTCCACGACAGTTAGGGTGGCAATATGATGGCAGTCTTCTGTTGGTCAGTAATCAGAAAAGATTCCGAAACCCTTTGCGCAGCTCATTCGAGGAAAAAACTACGTTATGAACATAATAAATACTTAACCTAACCTTAACCGATGTCAGATTCATGATCAACGAGTCGGAAAAATCTCAGGGAAAGGTTATTTAGGATAACCGCTGTATCTTACTTACAATTAAAATTGAGAAAGTTATTTTTTTAGTCGAACACAGTACCCAATAGTCGAATACAATACCCAATACAGTAACAAATAATCGAATACAGTACCCAGTGCAATAGTCGAATACAATACCTAGTACAATACAATAGTCGGATACAATACTCAGTACAATACTCGAATACAGTACCTACCCTGTACAATAGTCTAATAAGTACCCAGTACAATACAACAGTCGAATACAGTACTCAGTACACTAATCGAATACAGTACCAAGTACAATACAGTACAATAGTCGAATACAGTACACAGTACAATACAATAGTCGAATACAATACTCAGTACAATACAACAGTCGAATACAGTACTCAGTACACTAATCGATTACAGTACCAAGTACAATACAATACAATAGTCGAATACAGTACTCGGTACACTAATCGAATACGGTACCAAGTACAATACAATACAATAGTCGAATACAGTACCCAGTACAATACAGTACAATAGTCTAATACAGTCGACCAGTACACTACAATAGTCAAATACACTCCCCAGTACAATAGTCGAATACAGTACCCAGTATACATAAGTACCCAGTACCCAGTACAGTAGTTGAATACAGTACCCAGTGTCCAACAGTTTTTAGTCAATACAGTACCCAAGATGGATATCTTTGGGTTTCAGATAAATCCTGCCTCCAAGCCCCATCGAATTGGATCCACCCTGTACGATTTATTTTTCGAGTTCCACTTCGTGTGTAATCAAAAAGCATCTCCGCCACTCCTACCTGCCATTGGGCTCATCGGAAAGGTCGTGAGGTCGCGAAGTCTTTACTTAGAATAGGAACATATACATCGGAGTCGACGGCGAAGCTAACTTTCTATTATCATTGCCAGGACGCCCACACGACGCTAGCGTGCTAAGACGATGATGAACGGCTTAGGAAGACACAGCGTGTAGTTATTTTTTTCGAAAATGAGTTGTGGGATAGTAGAGGAACATTTCAACTCTGCCTATAATTGAATGATGATGATTAACTTTTTGATAAATCGAACGCATTATTCGTTATTGTGTTTTCTTATTGCTTTGAGAACAAATTAACGAGTATTTTTAATATTCATTAGTTAAATTTAAAAGCACCTTTAATTTAATTGAAATTGCAGTACATTAAAGTAATTTGGTTAGTACGAAGTTTTAGCATCGTGTCTTCTTGTCTTCTTAAAGTTAACAAAGCTGAAGTTTTAATTATCAAATTAAACTCCCGCAGCTTGACAAAATGTTTGTGTAATTGGGGACGTTTTAATTTTCCTAGCTGTAAAAATTAATTTTATAAATAACTGGAATGTTAAATTCATATATATTTTTTAATAAATTGTTTTATGAGTGAAAGTAAACGAAATATAAGTTAAAAATTACTTCAAACGGGTTTGAAAAATTCATGTATACATGTAGCAGAGTCACCTATTGACAAAATAATGATATTACCCTTCGGCCATCTTGTGTCTTATGACCGAACTATATTACTTAGGAGACATTGCGATCGACGCTCGATCGCGTCGCGACGCCTCAGATGTGACAAATTACGCGTTTCTCATTATTATTTATAACATTTATTACTCCGTTATAACACTTTAACCGACAAATTGTCCATCAACCGCACTGCCCTCTGGCCGCGAACGGCTTATCCTTAATTTACCATAAAACTGTGAACAACGTCTACGATTAGACGGGCTCTGTTGGCTGAAATCTAGCACACTTTTACAGAAATCTGTACTAATTCATTTTTGAGTTTCAGTTAATTCTTCCTATATTGAAAAGATGGCGCTGGAAAACATAACGTTCGTTATCGTTATATAACCTAACAATTCAAAAATAAACAAACAGGTAGTTTCAACATCAACTTCAAATCCAATTGTAATTTAAGATGTATAAAAATACTTTACACGTACTTTCAGTACACTTCCTAATGATTACACTGGCCTTCGAGGATATGTTTTATGTGTACGGTCAGTTAAACCAAGAAATGATAGAACACGGACGAGAACAGTATCAGGTAAAAGACGTTAATTATAGAAATTGAATTTTTGAGTAACTGTGGTTGTCCTAATTTCAGCTACTGAAAGAACGAAGCACTTTGCCAAAGTACGGACCGTGTTGGACAACAGCAGTGGAGCACTTAAACGAAGGTTGTCGCTACCTTTCGGAGGATACACAAAGCGACATCGCGCTTCACATAACAAACTGTTTCCTCGAGATGTCGGGCCATCAGACTTATAACTGTGAACTGGACAAGAAACCGAACTTGCGTGCTATATGTATCAACAGCATGTCCGATAGGGCATTTAACGTCTATACAGAGTTCTACACCCACACTCAGAACATCTGTTGGTTTCTTCGTGGACAGATATGGCACGAGACGATAGCTGAGAATACACTGAAAGTCGGGAAACAGCTGGAAGTGACCGCCCAGAATCAAGAAGGTTTACTGCGAGCCCAACGGGAGAGTTTGGAATTGCAGGAGAAAATGTTAAAGCATGGTAAATTTATAGAACAGGTGTTAGAAGATTTATATGTTTCCTCAAAATCGCATCAAGAGATTTTAAACGTTATGACTCGGAGCATCTCGAGTTTACAAGCATGGATCGTGGGTGAAATTTCTTGGATTGATTCAATAATATTCTATGGAGCAACAGTTTTTATAACGTTCATTGTAACTTCTTCACAAAGGACGATTTCTGCCAGGGTCCCTGTGTTCTTGTTGCTGTTTTTAAATCTCGTTATAGAGAGACTAATTTGCTCGTCGATTATATCTAGAAGTGACAATGTGGATGCTCAAACTATGTATGCCAGTATATACGATTTCGTTTGGTATTCAAGGTACGGATTTGTGTTTCTTACAACATTTGTCGTAGTTTATAAAGCCGTTATCCACAAGGATTTAGTTGCAAAAAATTTTGAACTACTTCGTAGCATCAAGGATCAAAATAGTGATGCTTTAAATATTTTAAAAGATCTAAAAAACACTCTAGTCCCTAGTAAAGGGAATATAAATATCATTAATGAAAGTTTAAATAGGAAATCGTTAGAAAGGGAGTTAAATGTTTATAAATCAAGTGCTCATAGTTCTGAAAGTGGTTACGTAAGTAAATATGATGAATATAAACGTAATTGTTACTCTCCAAGTTTAAGCGTCGTTAAAGATTATAAGGAAAGTAGCACTGAATCTTCAAAAGAAAATTATTTAAATAATTCAACTAGTTACTATTCTGTAAAAAAAAGACTTTTTCCACTAAACGAATTGCAAAATTCTAGGTATAATTTAAGAAGTAGGCAAGCTACACCTGATGATTAAGTGTGATACTATTTAAATAACGACATGTGTTCAATAATTTGTGTTCCTAATTGACAGATCGAATGTTCTCTCTCTGGAATTGTACATGTAATTATTTGAAATTATAAAAAAATCTGGATACTCAAACAGCATTTTTGGGGCGATGAGAAATAGGAACAGAATTTAAGTTAACAAATTAATTGAAAAATTTTAAATACTCGAAATATACATTTTTTATTTATTAAAAAAAAAAATAATATATATCCAGAACCAGAAAAATCTTTTCAATATGCACTGTTCCAATGACTTTTTAAATAATGGTTTGAATTGTGTCTCAAAATTAATTTAGAGAGGCCTTTTGATTTCTAATGGCCACACTATGCAGATTATTAAGTACATGTACAAATTTTAATGGGCAAATCGTTGACTGATTTCAAGCTAAAAACGTGGGTCCATAAATCAATAATTTTCGATTTACAGCGTCTTGAAGTATATCTGAAGATGTAGAACGATAAAACTTAGGCTGATGATTTATCTAATGAAATAAAAATCCACTGAATTTGAATATAAGTATGGGAGTCGATCTAACTAAGATCCCAAAAGTTGGACGCCACTGAATACTTTGAAAATTTGATCATTACTTATATATCATGACGTTCATTTAGGCCCAAAAACGCACCACTCTCGATTTATTTTTGTTTATTTTTTATTGAGGTTGCCAAATAATCCACAAAACATAAAATAACTGTAGAACTACTCTCAAAAAAGCTTTATAGCTATTTTTCCCAGCAAATACAATGTTAAAAACGAACTTATCAAACAAGTCTGAAAAATCAGTGGCGGAAATTTTTTATCTCAAGGGACAGCAAAAGGTGTGGTTTAGGAAAGAAATATTTTCTCAGGCTTTTCATGATCACCTTGTATTTAAAATCGTATATTTAGAAAAAATCATATGAACTGAAAAGTAAATCGAAAAGTATATCCGAATTTAAGAGATTTTTAACTTTAGAAAAATCATTAGCCTAACATTTCAGAATTCTGCGTCAAACTTCACATATTTTACAATATTTTTTTTAATTTCTACATCCTGAACCTCAAAAACTATCAATTTTGTGGACCCGTGTTTATATAACATTTTTGATTTAAAATCACTGAAAGAATCACACCTTAAAGTTTGTCCATATACTTAATTAACTCCCTGTATAAACAGGTTAGCTAGTCCAAGAGCCAGAGGAGAAAAATTGTTCGAATTTACTAAGCGTAGTCCTTTGATAGTTGTGTACATAAACATACTGTGGCCAGTCAAACGAAACTGAGAACAGGTGTCTCAGGTACACTATCAAAGTTGTCGTACCTACCGAGGTAATAAAATGAATTTACTAAGGCTGAAAATCGTTATACAAATTCAATATTGCATATAAATCAACGTTATGTCAGTCAGTGAGCTGAATGTGGGGACAGAGCTGGTCAGTCAGCCCCAATGTATGTATGAACAAAAAAAAATATTGTGCAATTGTTAAATTAACCATAAACAAAATGGTCAGTCTACGATTTTATGAGACGCCTATCAGTCAGCAAAAAAAGAAATTAAAATTTCGCGGGTTGAAAAATGTATGCACTGTAAAAGTTGTATTAAATATAGAATATACAGGGTAATTCACAAATGGTGGCCAATAAGGGAAGTCTTTCCTATAAAGCTTTTATATAGGACGCTTCGTTAAGAAGATACATGGTGTTAAACTTCAAAAAATATTTTTAATTTTTTAAAATAATTTAAAAACTAGTAAGTGAAATAATTTGAAATTGGGCACATGTATTTATGTATACATTGTCCAAGATCTTAGGCCTTTTCCTAAAGTTCAGATGCTCCAGTGGCGGAGATACAGGGTATAGGTGGCATATTTTTCTAAATAAAATAGTATGCCACTGCTTTACGGTAACAACCGTAACATTTTTGGATTCGTCTTTCAATTTTCTACAAATTACTACTCTCTCATATTTTTCGAAATAAGCCTGATTTTCAAGTAAAACTGAAAAAACAACTGAAAACACTTTTACTTAAATGACATGACAGGCACTAATCATTTGATTATTTAGTCGAATAAAGAAATTAGTAACATTAATCATCGTTTTAATGATTTTATATGAGTAAATGCTCAAAAATACCTCCACAAACGCAGGCCCAACATCTTTTTAGTAATGAAAATTTAATTTGTTCGAAATTTATTGTTGCTTGAATCTGATGAAAAGCATTATTTATTCCTTCTTCTAACTGCTAAGAATGTCAAAGTTGCTATCGCAAGCCACCACGTATTTTTAAAAAGCATTTTATTCGAATATCAGTGTTTTTGGTTCGTTTTTTAAAATTTACTCGAAAATCAGGGCTTTTTCGAAAAACATAAGAGAGTATCAATTTGTAGAAAATTAAGACGAATCCGAAAATATCATGATTGTTACTGTAAAACAGTGGCGTAACTATTTTATTTAGAAAATACGCCACCGATACCCTGTACGCCACTAGAGCATCTAAATTTTAGGAAAAAGCCTCAGATTTTGGACAATGTTTACATAAATACACGTGCCCCATTTCAAATTATTTCACTTACTAGTTTTTAAATTATTTTAAAAAATTTAAAATGTTTTTTGAAGTTTAACACCGTGTATCTTTTTTATTTGTGAATCACCCTGTATAGAATATATGAGAATTAAATTGTGACCTGAAGTATTAAACATGTCTTTGAAATCGTGAAAAAAAATTCATTCTATACAGATTTTTCAATATTTCTTTCATATTAATAGTCCGTACAATTTTATTAAACTATAATAAATAAGTAAATGGTCTATTCAATGTAATTAAGATGTATATTAATAATATTACTATCCAATAAATGAGAATAAACTGGTCAATTTCAAGTAAATTTTAATAACTATTTTCATGACCAGAATCGACTCTTATTCTTTCTCATTCACAAGAATCGCTCTCTGTATACATGGGCATTAAAAAAGTGAAGTGACAAGTGGCTTTGAATTATAAACACAACAAATTCAATTTTTTTTCCTCTGGCTCTCCGTCTATATCTGTTGTGCATAGCAATTAAAAATATTTTTAATCATTAGAAAGTTGATAAGGTAAGGAAATATGGATCTCAGAGTATCGAATTATAAATGTAACCATTGAAATAAATTTTTTTTAGTGTACCGTACACTGTCAGTTCTTTTTTCTTTATAAAATATTTAAATCTTTTTAGGGATCACTTTCGCCACATTTTATCACTCTTGTAAATATTTTTGATGAAATCAATACATAATAATTTAAAAACGAACATTAACATACATTTTACTTCGCTTTCATAAAGGCTGTGCAAAATCCTACCTGAATACCAAACAAACATGTATAGCTCTTAGTTTTCTGTGATTTATTCATATATGTCATACATTTTCTTTTAATAAAGATTTTATTTATTTTACTTGATATTTTATTAAAAAAAAGTACCTACGGTAGCATATAAATATATAACAATAACTGTGCAATACTTATAACAATAGAAACTCTTGGAATTTTATTAATACGTGTGTAGCTGCTTATTACAATAATCAACCTCTCAGTTTTGCTAACGTTGCTTCAATTTCCTCATCGGTAAGACCTTTGGATTTGGAACCTTCCCCGATTTTTCCAGAATCGGGATTAGGAACGTAAGCCATCTAAAATAAAGGATATTCAACAACTGCCGTACAAAATATGTCTTAACCTACCTTCCCACTTATTTCGATGCCAATTTCATCCAATACCTGAGTGATAATGTTATCACTTTCCTCCTCATCCCCGGATTCCGTTAACATGTCATCCAACGTGTCGTTTACTAGAAAATAAGTACATACGAATTTTAAAAATCAAAGAAAAATTTGAGTTATCTATTATTGTACTTACTCATTTCATCTGTCATTTCCATCTTCATATTCTCTCGAGAAAACGCATTAACCGTAGCTGCTAATTGTTCCGGTTTCATAAGCTTGTTCATATCCGACATGGTTTTTCCCGCTGTTCCCATCGCATCCGCTAATTTTACGTTAGCCCCCATCGCTTTATTTTGGAAAGATATTCCTTGGACCTTACTGCCGGCAGCATAGGAGCGCTGCTTCTGTTTTCGCAGCTGGACCAGCTGCTTCGCCAATAACCGACATCCGTCGTTGTTACCCTCTCGGGCTAATTTCTTGATTTCTAATTCCTAAAAGCATTAATGTGGTTTTAGGGTCGTAAATATATTTACAGCTAGCTTGTTACCAATTTCTTCTCATCTCTTTCAATTTGCCTACGATCCCTTTCAATGTCCCTACCGACTTTTCGTAACTGGCGATCTACCTCGCGTTGTTCATCTAAAAACAAATTCGATAGGTTATCTATAAAATAAAAAAGATTATGAGAACTCACCTTTAGGATCGGGTTTTGACCAAAAATTAAACATGTTTTAGTTTTCTAAATATGTCTAAACTCTATAAAATCATTACTGCATTATTTTATTATTATTATGAGTCACGGTTATTTCTTATTTCTGACAAATTGAAATTTTAATTTTTTTCGTTGGTTACCTGGTTAGACAGCTGACTAAAAGTAGTTCAGAGTTACTACTATTTATAGTAGTTCTAAATGTCATCTTGTAAATTGTAGGTCAAATCAACTTTCGAACTAATGATATTACCAAGGTGACTATACAATAAGAGGTTTGCTCATTATTACACTAACAAACTACGTTTTGGAAAATTAAACATATAAGCAAAAGAGCATAATCCCGAGGATAATCCATCTTCATTATAATAAGATTAAATGCAAAATATAGTGTCTCTCCGTTTTTGCATATCTCTTATACAAGAGTAATTTTTAGGAAAAAAAATTAAAGATGTTTCTATTTTTTTTCTAATTATATAAAGTATTTAGGTTGGCCTGCTTAACTGAATATCCCCTGTCGGACATAAGAAATTTGAATTTAGCCTCAAATTGCGTCAAAAACATTTGAGACAACAACAATATACAAATTTTAAACATCCTGCACTTTTGTAAGGATTTTGAACATTTACTGGTGACTTTCAAAAAAGGTAGGAAATCAACACATAGTTTATAATATTTTATTTATTCACAAAACATTAAATATACAATATTATCTACAATTACAAAATTTAAATAAATATATGATCCTAAAAGTAAAGGAAAGAAAATAATATGTTTTCAATTTATTTTTAGCACCTAATAAAAATATGACAGTCAGTCTTGTATAAAAAGACAAAGACACTTAAAAAATGAAAGCACTTTGCTAGATTTGCCAAATAAATACGAGATTAAAACCATAACGAGAAACAATACTTGTATTCCTCTCTATATATATTTTGAATTCATTAAAACAAATGGTTAGCGGAGGTATCACAAAATATTTCAACCTGTAACGCTGTAATCAGAACAATTTTAATTGACATAGACACAACGGAAACGTGCACAATATACAGGGTGTTCCAGAAAAGTATAAAGATCTTAGACTTTGAGGATCAATAAATTGTTCTAAATAGTCTTATTTCCATCCCAGAAGTTAGTGATCGAATGTTCTGGAACACCCGTATGCATTTTAAAGGTTTTTTTTAGTATTTGGGGTGTTCCCTTTACTGATAGATTTTTTAACGATAGTGAACTTCAAATTTTTTTATTGCAGATATCAACACCCCAAATACGTCATCTCATTAAAGCGGTTTCATTTTATCAAGTAAATTTTTATCACAAAAATGAATTTACTTGACATATCACACGAAATAGTTCAGAAACATAGCAATTTCCTCAAAACCAAACAGTGTTTATCTGGACGGTGTTGTTAGATTAAGGTACGAACCTCCATTTTCATATTTGAACCGAATTTGGTTATTCAATTTTGGGAGATATATTATTTGTAGATGTTTGTTTGTTGCCCTGTTTTCTTTTTGTACAGATGTACCCCAAAAATACCGATTGAAATGTTTATAATTCAAAGCCACTTCACTTTTCGCGAAAGGATAAAAGTCAATTCTGGTCATAAAAATAATAGTAAAATTTACTTGATGGCTTATTAAAGCTTTCAGTTTTTTACCTTTAAATTTTTCGCTTTTAATAAAAAAATTCAAGTACAACTAATTGTAAATTATGTTTTGATAATATTAAACTTTCTTTTTGACACTGTAAGTTTTAAGATATTTTATCAGAATTTTTTAAAACCAGCTTTAATAGTCATTGAAGCTTTTCACCTCCGAATTCTTTGAAACTGAACCGATCGACTTGAGAAATTTGTCAGATAGTTAGAAAAAAGGCCAATGAACATTAGTGACAGCGCCGATTGAGATTTGGGGGTTGACACCCTTCTCGGGGTGGAAATTTTTTTTTCAAAAATAACACTGGAAATGATTATCAAATTTTGAACAAAAAATATTTGAAGAATTTTTTCGAAAAATCAATAGTTTTTTAGTTATTCACGATTGAAAACTTGGAATTTTGAGTAAAAAAAAACACTCAAAGTATTTTTCGCGAATAACTCAAAAACTACGCATTTTATTAAAAAAAGTGTAAAGAACAAAAATGTAGCTTATAAATAAACAAAGAAAATCGTTCTTTAAAAAGTGTTGTACGTTCTATATAAAGCGAAATATGGATAGTGGAAGGGGACTTGTTTTGGGAGGAATACTTTAATCGATGTATTCAACGTCAAATAACGGAAAAAGGATTAATTTTACGTGTATAACGTTCCTGGAGTATTTTGTAGTACTCAAAAAGACCTTCAAAATGAGCACTTACAAAAATTAATTAGAGCAAAATTGAAGGAGTTATCGTCAAACACTGATGGGTTGCTCATATTTTTTAAGGAAAAATGAGCAGTAAACGCTGTACCATTTCCAACAGAATTAAAATTAATCATAGACCCTTTACAATTAGTTTTGTTTTAGTGTTTTTCATACGATCCTGAAGTTAGACCGGTTTAAAATGCGTATTTTTTTAATAATGTACGGTAAAAGTTAAAAACGTATTTTTCATTATTCAAAATAAATTACCTTATTTATATAATAACTTTGAAACTATGAAAGGTATGTAAAAAATGATAGACAACAAAAATTTAGCTTTTTTTTCAACAAATATTTTGCTTTTTTTTATTCCTATAGGAAAAAAAATAAAGGAGATCGACGATTGGAGTATCCATTTTAGTGAAAAAACGACCTGTCTCGAGCCCTTCGATCCTTTCCCTTTAAAAAACGAAGGACGTAAAAGGTTTTATATGGAAACGATCTTACAGCTCTTGAAATTATCTTTAAAATGTTTTTTTGTAGGACATTAAGTATAGCTTCAAAATTAACCGTTATGGTAAAAAAACCAATGACATTTTTTCGGAACAAAATAGGCTTTCTCATTTTTATATATTATATATTATATTATACAAATAAAATAAGTAAAAAAATTTAGTGTGATTATTTATATGCAGCGTAGCAATTTTTTTATGATTGATTATATTTAAAAATCGATTATAATAAAAATATTTTACATTAATATTGGTAAAAGGGTAGTTTATAAGAGTTGAAAATGGCAAAAGTAAAATATTCTTTCATAAACAATATAAGGGAATTTTTATTTTAAATTATTGCACAATTATAGCATTCCAAGATTTAAAACGTAATTTTTTATAATTTTTTTAGCACAGGGGTGATTTATAAGGGTTGAAAAGTGTTATGAGATACAAATTCTTTCATAAGTAATGAGGGAATTTTTATTTTAAATAATTGCACCGTTAAAGCATTCCAAGCTTTTAAAAAGTAAGTTTTTATCATTTTTGTCAATACAGGGGTGGTTTTTAGGGGTTGAAAGGGGAAAATTCTTTTATTAGCTATAAGGTAACTTTAATTTTAAATAATTGCACGATTTTATCTTTCCAAATCTTTTAAGTAATATTTAACATAATTTTTTGCATCGGGGTAGTTTTTAAGGGTTAAATAAAGGGTCGATAAGATCAAATATATCATAAAACATGTTCGAGAACATGGAACATTATTTAACCTTTGTGCTTAGACAAGATTTTTATCAATAAAATGCTTAAAACTTAATTTTTTCAATTTTTTTCACTTAGGGGTAGTTTTTACCCCTAAAAAAAAAAAAACGTCAATCGGGCTTATGTCACTTTTGAACTTGAGCCTAAGATGAGCCTTATTCTAAATTTTCATGCAAATCCATGCAGTTTCAAAGAATTCGGAGGTTACAGCTGATTTTCGGCTTCAATGACTGTACTACTTTACATTTACCAATTTTTTATTCAATAAATAAAAAGCCAAAAAATTGGAGAGAATACAACTGATTTTAAATTAATCGATCAATTGGGGTTTAATTTTTATCCTAAACCCGACCAATTTATTCAAACATATAAAATGAAAATATGTGGAAATTAATTGCTTAAAAATGTATTGACAATTCACTTTTATTTCAAGGTTGGCAATAGCTATTTTGCCCCAGTGGCAATTGTTTGCAGTATTTTGCCAATATCTAAGGACTTTAGACAGTGGTTCAATTGCGCCATCTATCAATAGGGAGTCCAACTAAAATCCCATAACACTGTCCATCTCCCTTTATTTACTAACAGAGAGAATACGTTTTCTGTGATAACTTATCAATCATCTACTGTCACGAGGTTGATAATGTTCGAATCGAACAGAAATTTTTAAAATCAAATACAAATTTATTTATACAAGGAGTTAGTACTGAAATTGCTTGTAAAGTTAAATTAACATTATTTGTAGAATAGTATTCTGTTCTTGAAAACTTTTTACAATCAAAATTGGTAAATCCAAAACCGATTTAATGCTTTTCTGGAAATTTTCTTGTGGTTTCTTATTTTTGGGATACACTGTATAAAAAGAGAATTTGGATAAAAAATTGTTTCTGAATTGAACAACCGAAAACTTGTAGCTTTTGAAAAGTTTCTCAATGATTTGCAATTTTTGAAGTAGCGAGTTCATATGCAAGAGACTTGCGACATTTACTGCGAGAACGAACTTCTATTTCTGTGGGATCATAAGTGTGTGTAACGCACAATTTGGCCTTAGTGTAAACAGCTCCCGAAACTCGCAGTTTAAAAAATGGTTTTGCAGAAGTGTTTTTGGAAAACTTGCATTTGGTGCTAATACATCGAAAATTGTTTCGCAAAAAATGTCGCAAGGGAACGAAATGAATTTTACAGATCGTCAAGCGTCGGGAGCGGATAGCATCTAAAGATGCCGAAGCCGGGATATATTTTGTTACCTACTAAAATCTGTCTAAAGCCCACGTTTGATGACCTGTAAATTCCTGAATACTGGAAACGCACTATTATTAAATACTGCCGATGAAAAATGTAGACTTGAGTGGCTTAAAAAATATAGGCACTTTTTGCCTAAAGTTTCGACTACGATTTATTTCAACTCAAACGGCAACACGCAACTCAGCATTAACATTTTAACTATTTAAAATGTAATGTAAGAATATTGAACCCTCGCGTTAAAGAAAAAGATTTCACAAAGCCTTTGAACCGAAAATAAGTTATCCAATACATACCTCCTAAATAAATAAAGTTACAAGAAAATGTCAACTGATAAAAGCCTTACGATAAAAAATTATTTTTTTTTCAGAACTTTTAAAAATATTGATTTTTTTTTAACATCTTATGTACAGAACCGAAGCGAAAAAATGAACTCTCCTACCTACTCTACTACCCCTCTCGTTAATTTGTACCTCACGAAACAGCTACGATAATATCACGACAATTCATTTGCATTTTTACTTACAAAATACTTAGGCAGTTTTATTTTTTTTTTGTTTGTTTGTTTACGATGTTAAGATACACCAAGAAGAAAAAACCATCATCAATCTTTCGTAATCAGAAGCCCGTCGCACTCTTTCTCTTTATCTTTTGAAATATTTTGATTAGCCTGATCGTTTTCGTATTCTACAAAGTCGTCGAAGAGACTCGGCCAAGCCTCGTTATCGTCGTAGCAGCTCAAATCGTCGCCTACGTGCTCGGAGAAGTTCAGGAACATGTTCCAAGTGTCCTTAGGTATCCCGCGGATCATTTGATGCGTATCGAGAAAATTCAGCCAACGGGTGAGGATCGGCGGCTCGCGGATGGTAAAAACTAACCTCCACAGAACAGTCGCCATGTCCGTGGGTAATATCCTCTGCCCCGAGGCCGAATCCAGCCCGAAACGGAACGTAAAGCGATACAGATCCTTGAAAAGTTCATCGTTCTGTTCCACCTCACACACTAACTCAGGCAGACGGGATTGGATCGATTTGATCGAATCGGCACGCATACCTTTCAAACCGTTTAGAAACTCCGGTCGTGTGAAACGGCACATTTGTTCAGCGTTCAGTTTCCAAGCGAGAACTAAGATTTTAAAGTCGTCGGGGGACACTTGCAGATCCTGACAGAACTTCTCGATTCCTTCGGCTAGCATGCTATCCTCACTTTCGTCCTTGTACATCTCGAAAAGAGCGGTGAGTTTAGCTTCTGACGGCTTGCTGTCGGTGACACCCATTGCTGGAGCCGATTTGGGATGGGGCCTTCGACTTTGCGGATAAAACCGACTGATAGCTGCGGTAGTTTCCGGAGGTGCGGACAAGTGGTTGCCGTTGCTCAGAATAATCTCTGGGGGAGCTGACGACGCTGGAACATGACTCGGAGCTGGGTAAAGACTAGCTTCAGTCATTTCTGGAAAAAAACAAATAGTTTTGGGGCCTCATACTGTTAAAAATGTCACCAAAATTCTTACGAAATTATTACGAATGTTACGCAATGTCATTACCTTCCTTATGACAGTTTTGCGAAGCGCTGTCCAGGGCCGTCTGTGTGGGCTCCTTGAAACAAGTCAGGCAATTGCCCATTTGAGGGTCCCAAACCGTACCTACTAGGTCCTTGCCTGGAGATTTTTTGCATCGCCTGAAAATTTCAAGTAGGATGTGTCAGAATGCTGGGTTATTGTTGCTACATTCTTTAATGGTGATGATTAAATTATAGTTTAGACAAGTTTGAACTTGTTTATTATTGCAACTCCTTAAAAAAATAAACATATGATGTGCTATTCTAAATAACAAAAGTATGCTTAATGGTGAACATATTCAAAATATTGAAGCACTTACCTCAAGAAATTTAAATACACTTCTAATATCAGCTTATTAGTTAACTAAACCAAACCAATATTGTTATAATTTTTGCTTTATTAGAAGAAAAATACATTTTTGACGTTTGACAGGTACTGCACTTTTATCATTTATATTAATTTAATGTAACTTGTTTACGTCATCGTGCAAGTTGTTCTTTAAGTTGAACGTTGTGTAAATTATACATTCAAGGTATTTAATAATTTAAAAATGTAAAATTCAGGGTGAATAAAGTTTTCACTTGACAGCTCGCTCACCCACCATGCCACCACACCACACCATCATACTTTACCACCACAGTACGGCACACTCACAGCTGTTTTATACGAGTATAGGAGTGCTTTGCCCAAGAGAGCAGCAAAGTAATTTCTTAGAGTTGGTCGCTTCAACAACTAATTATCGAGCTACAGTCATATTAGCTTCAAATTATCAAACATTCTTTCAAGTAATAGTTTACAACTTTCTCTGAAGGTAAATTGGAAAGACATTCTAAAAAAATTACTTTTTGTGTTGAAGAAAATTTTTTAAATATCACTGAGAGCAGGACAAATCAACAAACCGTATGATTGTTCTTATGCTGCCATCTTTCTTTATCTTTAAAAACTAATAAGTTTTACTACCTGCCTGCAGTCTTCCTTGAAATCTTATAAAAACGGTTTGACACTTGGCTTAACTGGGGCCATTTTCATTTTTCATTCTTTGACTTTCGATCAGAACTTCGGTTGAAGGTCCACGATATAATTTTTGGAGTCGAGAATAGTGTGAAATGGCTTTCGGCGACTATCCAGCAGAGTACAATCCAAAAGTACACGGTCCTTATGACCCCGCTCGTTATTATGGCAAACGTAAGTATGCGAACACTAACAGAAAATCCAAATTACATAACAATTTTATTTTACAATTTTTCAGCTGATACTCCATTCAGCCAGGTAAAATTGGGAGAACTCGCATCATGGTTTGGTCGTCGCAGTAAGCACCCATCTGCCGCTGCTGGAGCTGTCAGCAGAGGTTAGTTTTTAGAAGTGTCTCGCAAGCTTGGTACTATAGTGCTTTTTTTCAGCTTGGTGGAGGTGGCAACACAAATACGTGCAGCCAAAAAGAGCAGGAATTGCTCCATTTTTGCATGTAGTCTTCGGTTCGATGGCTGTATTTTACGTGCTTAATTACGGCAAGATAAGTAAGTACATTTCTATACTTTTGGACGATTTTCTTAAAAACGTTTGTATAATACTTTGTTGTAGGTCACCACAGGAATTACAAGTACCATTAATCGCTGAACTATTATTCGATTTAGTAGTATGTCGTAAAATTTCTGTTATTCAGTAAAAGGCTTGGATAATAAATGTTATACTATCTAATTTGTTCAGTGTTTTAATCTTGCAAGTTGAGCGACGTGCTGGTTGTGAAAAATAAAGTGAAGACACAGGTAATAGCAGCCATGTTTATTGGTAAAAAAATATTCTAATTCTAAATAGCCAATTTTTATTACATAGTTACCATAATCAAACACTCTTTATATATAAGTGGGTAAAAAAACTGTTACAAAATGATAAAATGCACACAAACTTTCATAATAGGATTAACATTCTTTGTTAAAAATTCAATTAAACCTCTTCAACAAGTTATCACAACCACTTGCTTCTAACACGATTTAGTAAAAAATGTATTAAAAAAAGAATCAATCAACAGTAAGGGTCAACCTTTAAAAAATTTACATATATAAAAACCGCAACACACCCAAAAACGTTTTGGTAAAGTAGTTATTGCAATGACGAGGAAAGCTGCAAGGCATAGCTGCCGATTAAATAATAAAAGTACACTAAGTAGCTTAAAAAATATAAAAAAGGTATAAAATACTGATTTTGGATTTTAATAAGTTATTCTCGATTAATAATAAAAAAAAGTTGGGTTAAAAATAAGAAATATCACTCACATGGTTAATACTACCAGGTAGGTACACTAGCTTACAAAACATCCCAAAATCTTCCCTTAACAGCTAATGATTCCACGTTACATTATTCGTTGTATACTTTAATACTATATCCCATAATACTGTTGTCTCTATTTCATTTCTATACTAACGAGTGCCACCCGCAAAGAACTTGCGACGTTTATTGCGAGAGTCATTTCCAACTTTCGCAATAAATGTCGCAAGTTTTTTAACGTGTGAAGGCTCGGGTTTAAGGTTATAAGCCACAGTATAATAAATAGCAACTTTTATTTTATGACTCCCAAACTTCTCCTGCAGTGATTTATTTCTAAAATACACAGGGTGTCCCAGATAAAAAGGCCCAGTCAGTCGAGATCAAAATAAAACCATTTACACAGCCGTGTCAAATTTTAAGTTAATATTAAATATGAAAACACGAAAAGAACGTTACAAAAATGGCCCTGAACAACGAAGAATGATCGAATGAGCACCTCGTGCCCAGTCGCACGTCACTCCGCGGTTTGCGGGAAAATAATTTTATGGGGCAAAATAGACGTTTTCCAGCCTTGCTAGAGAGTGAATTTTAACGTATTTACAGCCGCATTTCGAATCCCGCATTTGATTTTGCGGAAAGTTCTACAGAAAAAGCGTGAAATAGGCACCCAGATAAATATGAGTATTTTCGACACAGTTTTAAATAAAATATCGTACAAAATAGGGGAAATAAAAGATAAAAAAGCCGTACTCGCGCGCAATTCGAGACGATCGTCAGATTTCATCGGTAAGGTGTGTCGGACTCGTTCTACGTGTTCCACACGAAAAATAGGTCGCGCCCCCCAAAGGGCTCTGGGAAAACTGGAATTTAGGTAGGAAGGCATGAAAGAACCTCCACCGAAATACCCCTAAGCGACGTGGTGAACATGGCTCTCTTTTCTGTGGCACCCTGTATATAAAGTATTTCAAAAGTCCTCGAAACGTGATTATTTGCCGATAAATGTAATATTTATAAATAATTAATAGGAATTTTAATAAAATCATCTGAATAAAGTTTGTGGTGAAAAATACCCAAAATAATCGGTATCGTTGCGATTTTTTTCCGTTCGACTTTGTCGAGTAACTGTACGCTATACTGCGGTGAGGCTACAAAGTAATGTTTAATTATAATTTGGTTGGCGGTTTGACGTTTTCTAAGCTAGTGTACTAAAAATGCTTAAATCAAAAAATTGCAAATTAAAAATCTTAAATACATTTTAATAATCGCAACTAAACCTAGTGTTACAAAAATGATAAGAACTACTGGTTATGGTATACCTTTTTAAGGAAAAAAAAAAAAACGTTATGTACAACTTGTGCAAAGTACGATAAATATAAAAATCCGATGTTCGGCAAAATTTACACGACTTATCAATTAGAATGCCAAATAATTGGGGGTAAACAGAGAGCTTAACAATAATTTAAATAAATTAAGGGCATTAAATAATATTAACGAGTATTAAGGGAAGGCGTACCAGACAGAGAGTGAAAGTCAATAATGCCATGATCGATCGGTTTCGGTTATTGTCGATTTGTTGATAAATTAATTTGCTTGTACTTTTGTACGTTTTAACTAAAATAACGGAGATTGCCTTTTTTAACTGGTATGGTTTTGGTTTGATTCAATTCTCTTCCTTAGAAAAAAAAATTAAATGGCTCTCCTGCGAATTCGCAACCATGGTCTCAGGCCTAAGAAATGTAAAACAAAATAGATTGGAACACCGAGGTGATTTCGTTGATCAAGAATCAGCCTTGTCGGAATTGTGCAGTATTTGATTTTTGAACCGTGCCAAAGATATAACAAAATTGTAAATACATAAGTTATTTCTGCAATGTGAGAAAGACTGATTGGTTCAAATCGCATGAATGTTTTCAGAATTTAAAAAAGAACGCGGCATAGAAAATGGTAAGGGTTTTTAAGGCTAGATTTGTTTCAGCACAAAACAGTGGCGTGGATACGAGTTAAGGTGGCTACATTTTCACAAAAAGTTACGGCTCGCTACTGAATAAACAATTTTTCTTATATTTTTGAAATGCAAATTTTATTTTGAATGGAAACGATCTCTTGACTTTTTGCATAGTTTTTAGCATTTCGGTACAAATGAACTACTTGTATACACTGATAAATATAGAATTTAGTCAACTAATCTTACAAAATGTATTAAAAAAATTCGATACACTTTTTGATAACATGTTCTCATACATCCTGCCAAGATATTAAACTTTTTAACCTTTCTCCTGTAACTCAAAATTTAGAAAATGTTAAATTTCTTAGAAAAATCATTATGAATACTTTGTGTAATGCCCTACTTTTAAATATCTACACGTATTATTTTTACAAATTGCTAATTCGTACCAAAACAGTAAAAGCTATGCAAAAAACCGAACATTTTCGTCCAAAACAAAATTGGTATATCCAAATTGAAAAAAAGTGACAAATCATAAATTTTTCATGTTAAATGCCATTTGATTTGATTGATTTATACATAAAAAAATCGGCTATATTTTTTTCAACACCCTGTATCTCAAAAACAAAAACTACAAAACCAAATATTTCAATATCTTAATTCATTCAGAAGATATTTAGAGATATAAGATTTTCCAACACCTTGTATCTCAAAATCAAATACTTCAACGGCAATTGTATGTACAGGATGTATCAAAAATGCTTGGCCATGCTTTAATAGCAGACTTTACGTCATAAATCAAGAAAAAAAAAATCCTAAAAACCTGTCTCGAAACAAATCGCTTTTGATGTACAATTTCTTCATTTTTAAATATTGTTGTGTAACGCTCCATAATTTTAAATTTATCTAAATCTATTATAGTTTTTCCGATCTTAATTGAAAAACCAAGTGGTTGGAAGTATGTATCAGGTTTGGTTGCTGACGCAGCAACTCGGTATTGAAATATTTGAAAAATTTGTTCCCATACTTATTTAGCCATACCCATGCAGGTCTGACCACGGGGGCAAACGCGGCACAAACACAGGCCCAGTGAGCCAAATGGCCATAAATTCAGTTGTCAACAAATGGCTTAGCAGTGCAGTGCAGCAATACGGAATTTGGTGTGATTCAGCACCTTTTATGAATTATTCATATTACAATTGTAAAAGAGAGAAATAAGAGGGATATTTTGTTTACTAATATTACATGGCATTTTAGAGACCTTTCGAAACGGAACAAAACGAAATTTACCATCAATATAATCAAATTTTCTGCACATTATATTTAGCAGAAAACTTTTTTAGGGACGCCTATGAGTCAATAAATTTTATTGCTAGGCGTTTTTAAACATGTTCAACTGACTTCGGAAAGACTATACCAACAAATTGCTAAATTGTACCAAAATGGTTAAAACTATGAATGCGAAAGAATTTCATTGAAAATAAACTAAAAATGTCAAAATGTTAATATCACACTTTGAATACTATTCGATTCGCGTACTATGTGTACGAAATTTTGTTTAAATGTCTTCATTTGTTCAGAAGATATTTAGAGATTTATGTTTTTTTCAACACCCTGTATCTCAAAAATAAATTCTTCAAGCGCAAATGTCTGTACAAGATATAATTAAAATTCTTGCTCGAACTCGATGGTTTTGCATCACAAATCAACAAAAAAATAAGTTCTTCACTTTCGAAATACAGTGTCCAAGTTTCTGGAGAAAAAAATGATTTTTCAATATTAAAAAAGCGATTTGATTCTAGCTTGGCACACTGCTTTAATTTTTTTGCTCCACAAATGAATATGGACGATGAAGATTATTTGTAATAAATTTTGCTTCAGATGTTTTTTTCTAATTTCAAATTTGGTTCACTATCACTAGTAAAGGGTTTACTTTACAAATATTAGAATCTGTTTAAGGTATCGCTAAAAGTGTCAAAACATTTGAAATAAAAATAATTATACCTAAATCTTGGCATCACCACGATTTGTCTACAATGAACAGTAACAAACCGTTACAGCTACGCTTGAGACAATGCGATCGCTGGTTGGTTGAACAGAATCTCGTGAAAAATTGCACCAAACGCAGTCGGTGAGACAGAATGTTGCGTTTTAATGTAATCTTGACCTTATTGTTTTAATAATTTTTAATCTTACTGAAATTTTATTGCCACCATGAAGGAAATAAAATTATTGTTCCATTTTTGTAGGTTCTGTATTACTTATACGGTTTTCCTCAACTGTTTTCTGTATAATTTAAAATAAACGATATATTTTCATTTATTTTGAACACCCTGTACACCAAAAACAAAGCATATCCAAACACCGTTTTAGGATTGTTTTTGGCGATTTATACTGCAAAATCTGCCATTAAAGTTTGGTTAGGTTCATATTCGATGCAAAGTAATAATCATTGCCGGTCAAGGGATCCAATGCCATACGCTTTTAAGGGTTTTAGAAATTGAATAATTTCTTTATACATTATGAAGGGATGAAGGGATCAGTTCACGTCTTAAGTCCCTTTTTTTGTCCACGACTATACACACACATTAAACGACTATACACACACATTAAAGTTAATGTCTTTGCTGCGCCTAAAGAGGAAGAAGATAAGTTTGATGTAGCTTTCGTATTATTCCGTCATAGAAACAAAAACTATTAAAAAATTGTTCAAAGAACCCGATCGACTCCCGCCACTCCTGCTTCGTAAACTCTCTACCTGGCACTGTAATATCAAAAACCGTTATAAATATGTTCCTTAACAATCTATACTGTTATACTTAATAATAAAAAGAAAGTATAAAAAAAACATTCGAGAAGTAAAAAAATAATACTAATATTAAGGTACTACTGGCATAAGCAAAAGTTTGGTTATGTTCTCTTTTATTCCGGTAAAAAAAATTGAATTAATGCATTTGTGGAAAATATCACAATCTGCGTTTAAAAAACAAACAAAAAAAAAGTACAAAAAGTTCACGTTACAAAATGAGTATTATCGTGTAAGTACAAGTTAAAAAAAAATCCCTAATTGAGAGAGCGCAGTTTTGGGTAAAAATTTCTTCAATTCTTCCGGTTATGGTAAAAATCTAAAACTATTAAGTAGAGTTGGTATCACTGGTATACTTTACGAGGACTCTATTAGAAATTACCAAGTTTCTAATTCAATTTTATGAGTTTATTGTTAGTGCAGCTCAGCCTCCGTCATCTGCGTCGAGACGAGGTTTAGCGGCAGATCTGCTATACTGTCCTCGTCCGAGTCCACCTCGGGGGCGGACCCGCTCGGGGACGCTCCTGTAGGCAAGAATTTCGACAAAGGCGGGGGACCCTGCAAAAGATTACAAAAAACAAATAATAACAAACGAGTCGGAAAGTATGAAATATTTTTTAAAATCATTTCAAGTTTTTAATAAAAAGTATTTGTTGCTAGTTTTTTGAAGCACCGTGTTTAGTTTGTGAATCTCAGTGACAATGATCTCCGAGATTTACCTAGTTTCCAACATTAAGAAGAAAAATCACAACTGCAATTTCAACAATTTGGAAAAAAAATTAACTATCGCTTTAAAAGAAAGATAAGAGACAGCCTGTATCAACGATTTTTTTCGAGACTGTATTTCCAGCAACATTTTTACAGTTTCAACGAATCCTATTCCGTTACAATTCTGTTACACCTACTCACGAACACCATTTGTTTTTTATAAATGAATATTAGCATCGCTTCATGCACATCTTATTTTTGTATATCTCACCTGTATGTGTGGGAAATTGGGAGCACTTGGATTCTTGTGCCCCTGTAGAGCCATAACGAGGTGCGGCTGGATCTGCCTCCTCAACGCGCTTAACATATCTTCGGTGTCCGTCGATTCCGACGTGTTGTTGTCCTTTTCTTTTGGAGCGATAGCTATAATTGTTTCGAAACGACTGGGTATAAAAAAAGTACTGGACCAATTTACAACAGTCCGATTAATGTTGGAGGAATTTATCGTGAATTAAGAAGACTATAAATAGTAGATGTGTACGGGGTGTTCTCTATAAGGACTAGCCAAATTCAGTTTTTTTCTCCAAAAATTAAACAAAAAAACATTACACTGGATCCTCATTTACGTTGTACTTAATATACAGTGTGTTACAAGTAATCGAGAGTTTTCATAAATTATTTTTATAGAAAGAACAATGTTTTTGAATGTTTTTGGCATTACTATGCATCTTATAGGCCAGGAAATATAGAGTTGGACGCAAATTTTTGGTTTCGGCAAGCTGAATTTATCACTATAGATCAGGGATGCACAGACTTATAGGGAACAGGGGCCACTCGGGAAAAATATAAGCCAAGGACGGGCCACTACAAACAATATTTATTAACACAATTTTTTTTTATTTTTAAATAGTATGAAATACAATGATAAAAATAAAATAACCTTCAAAAATGTTTGTTGTAATAATTATGTAATCATTACAATGTAATATTTCATGTTTTATTATTTTGATGCATGACATTGCATTGAACTAACAAGTTTTTTTATATTTGGCTCCACATTACTTGTAGCCACACGTATAATTGCTTCCAAATTTTCATTTGCCAGACGGTTTCGGTTTTTCGTTTTGTTAAGTTTCATCACTGAAAACGTTTGTTCACAAATATACGTCGATCCAAATAAGCTTGCGCATTTCAATGCATTTATTCGCAACTCTTTATAAGCGTTTTTATCAACGCAACGGTAGAAGTTGAGTAAATTACCTTCATTAAATTTGTTTCTTAAATTATCATCATTTTGCATGTCTATTAATTCCAGCTGCATTAATTCCGGCGCATTTTCGGGTGAAATGTTGAAAGGATTGCTGAAAATGTCCAATAGCGGTTTAACTTTTTTGAAGTCTACAAAACGATTTTCAAAAGCTTGTATCAAAATATCAATTTTTTCAACATGAGCGAAATTGACGTCAGTTTTATTGAACTTCTCCATAATTTTTTTGTAGTTCGGAAAATGGCCGTAATTGGCTGAATTGATTTGTGTCCTGAAAAGACTCAATTTGCATTGAAAGGACGAAACATGAGAGTATAGCTGCGAAATCAATTGATCTTTGCCTTGGAGTCGCGTATTTAAGACATTCAAGTGATTTGTGATGTCTACAAGAAACGCTAAGTCACACAGCCAATCAGGGTTGTCGAGTTCGGGGACGTCGTTTTTCTTTTCCGCCAGAAATAGTTGGATTTCTTCAATCAAGTTAAGAAATCGCTGTAGTGTCAACCCACGACTTAGCCACCTTACTTCAGTGTAAAACAGGAGATCACCATATTCGCTTTCAATATCCTCGAGAAATTGTTTGAATTGTCGGTGATTGAGACCTCGTGATTTTATAAAGTTTACGGTAGGTACTACAACTTTCATAACATTTTCAAATCCCAATAATTTTGAACAGAGGGCCTCTTGATGTATAATACAATGAAACTGCATTAATTCCTTGGTATTTATGTTTTTAGTTTGTAAATATGTTTTTAACAGAGTTACTATCCCAGATGTACTTCCAACCATTGAAGGTGCTCCGTCAGTTGTAATTCCAGATATTTTCGTTAAATCCAAATCCATTATAGAACATTTTTCTAGAAGAGCTTTGAGCATGTCACTTCCCCTGGTTTGACTTGTCAAAGAACTCATACCAATCAGTTCTTCACTCACTTCAAAATTTTGCGTTACACCTCGTAAAAATATTAATAGTTGAGCAGTTGAACTTATATCTGTAGATTCGTCGAGCGCTATAGAAAAATACTCAAAACTTCTCGATTTCGTAGCTAATTGCTCTTCTATATTATCTGCTAATGCGGTAATTCTTCTTTGAACAGTCATCCGATTTAACTGAATTTTTTCAAACTTCTTTACATTTTCCGGACAAATTTTTTTTGCGGCGATATCCAAACATTGCTTAACAAACTCACCATCTTTAAAAGGCCGACAAGTTTTCGCTATTATTCGAGATATTTCAAAGCTAACTTCAGTGGCTGTTTCAGCATCTTGAATTGGTTTTGTAAACATAGATTGCTGGCCTATTAGTTCCCGTTGTAAAGTGGAAATTCTTTGCGTTCGATTTTCGCCAGTTAATTTGGTAAAAGTTGGATGCTGGGTTTCATAGTGCCTTTTCACATTATATTCCTTCGGAATAGAAACACTACTCTTGCATATTAAACAGACAATTTTGTTATGCGATGAAATAAAAAAGTATTTTTCGGTCCAAATATCATGAAACTGTCGATTTTCATCTTCAACCTTACGACTACGTTTCTTACTGGGGCCTGGTTTATCCATATCAAAATTAATATTATATGTTACAGTCGGTAAAAGCCAAGTTCGAACGACGAAATATTTACTCGTCACAGATTACAGTTCTCAAACAGTATAACGTTCGCTTATCCGTAGTCAAAACTTAACTGCCCCGGTAGCCGGCGATGCGTCGTATTTATACGAGTTACCAAACATCGAGAACCATCCACTTTGTTCGGGGATCGACGTGTTTCGCGAATCTGTAATCTAGTTGATGCGACAGATTTCTAGTCTCGTAATAATATGCTTGGACCGGAGCGCGGCGAGTAGAATACTTTTAAAATTCGTTGGCGGGCCGCATAAACGTCGACAGCGGCCCGCATGCGGCCCGCGGTATGTGCATCCCTGCTATAGATGCTAAATATTATGTACAAGTTGAATAGTTTACAAGTTATGGCCTTATAAACAAATTAACTAATTATTAGTCTGGACGATCCCGAGCATTTCCCACAATCGCACTGATTTTTTCATGGTAGATTTGATAATAATACATTGAAATCTATCACTTTTTTTTTAAATTTCAAATTTGCAACCTGGAAAGTTATTTTATTTTTTAGCCTTAGCTGCAAAATGAAATATACAACGCACACGCGTTTTATAGTTATATATTATTACATATTGGGAAAGCTTATGAAAAAAGCTTTAAGTTAAAAAAAAATTGTCAAGATTCGCTGAAAAACAACAGAGTTACAAACTGTTAAATATATTATTTTCAAGCGAATTTCGCTTTTTTAACGGCAGGACTATGAATATTATCGTCATTTTCTTCGGACTCGCTGTCATTCACTTCCCCCACCCTTCCGCCGTGCCACGGCTTGCCGAAAATCAAGCGACCCACTGACTTTTGACAATATTTCTTATGCATTTAACATACTTCCACAAATAAAATATTTTTATCTGGGAAAGTACTCGGGTTGCCGGTTATGACACTATTTTTTTTGCCGCTACCAACCTAATTTGTTTAACAATAGGCCGTCAACTTTGACAGTCCGTAACTCCGTTGTTTTTCAACGAATGTGGACGATTTTTTTTTAACTTGAAGCTCTTTTCATAAGCTTTCAAATATGTAATAATATATTACGCATGTGCGTCGTATATTTAATTTTGCAGCTAAGGCTAAAAAATAAAAAAAAACTTGCAAATTTGAAATTAAAAAAAATGATAGATTTCAATGTATTATTATGAAAAAAATCAGTGAAAAAAGTTATAAGCAAAAAACGTGAATTTACGTAAAAATTATATAATTAACCACCCTGTAAACCCCCCATTTTTATGACTGTGGAAACTACCTAATATGTTATTGTACATAATATTTAGCATCTATAGTGATGAATTCAGCTTGCCGAAACAAAAAATCGCGAAATGATCATTTCCCAGCTATTTTTCCTGGCCTACTTGAATTCCTTTGCATATTGAAACTTTTTCAATTGAATTAAAAAAAAAATGTTATGTTTCTCTGCAATAAACTAAAGATTTCTTAAAAAAAAAGTTAGATTTGTTTAATAAAATGTGGAAATAGCAGCTGTTTTTTCGTGTTGATCTTCAAGGGTGATAGGACAAAAATACAAGACACTTGTTTGAATGACTACATTAACTCACTGCTCCAGACGTATATATTCGCTAAAAATGTATAGGGCTCAAACTGCTCCAGACGGATTAATTCGCATGAATAGTTAAATTGGATCAGGCTGCTCAAACCGTATATATTCGCAACCATGCGCATTAGTGACTCGGTTATTGCAATTGGTAAGGCGAATTTTTGCGGGCGAGCTTATACCAATTGTGACAAATATTTTTATGGAAAGAGGTACTGGTAATAATACCAAGATTGTTCATATTTCTTTCAGTTTCTACTTAGTACATATACTGTATTTTATTCAAAATAAAATCGTAAAATTTATCGTAAATCGTAATTTAACACAACATAATGTAAAACTATAAGTGGTCTAACTGCTCCAGACGTATATATTCGCACGCGATAAACTTTCGCGCACATCGCGGTAGCTATGTTCAGACGTATTGCGCAGCGAAAGGGTTAATAAACAATTTCGATATATCAGGTGAGTATATGTTTTTTAATAATTTTTATTATTATCTTTTTATTTCCTATTTCGGAGGGTATAAAAGCTAATAGAATGTTTTTTAAAGAAATTTAGTTAAAAATGGTAGTCTTTAAACTGAACACCCAGTATATAATGTGTAACAGACAAAATTACCGAAATTAATGCAAAATTAGAGAAAGTAATAACAATCGTCAATTCATGTTTAAAATTGTCCCAATAAACACCTCCCGCATTAATTCGGACAAAGTACGTAAAAGGTACATACCTTTCGGGGGCTTACCTTTGTATGTTTTTATAGGCCCAGCGAATGAACTGTACTCTGCAATAATAAACAAGGACATAAAAAAAATGAAAGGTACTACGAGGCGTAGAAACAACAAACGAACCGTTAAAATGTGAAGAAACCAACCTTTACACTTATCCTTCATGTCCGGAGCCTTAGGCCTTCTGCGTCTAGTGTGGATCGTGTCCCTCCGCATGGTATGGGGCCTGTCGACGCCGTGAAGCTTGTAGTACAGCCCGCAAGCGTTACACACCATCTCGCCTCGCATATTCCGTCGCCAAATCGTCGTAGTCTGCGTGCCGCAGTTGGTACACGAGAGGTCTACCCTTCGCGCCATTCCCGGGCCACCCTGAAGTCGTAAACGAAGGTTAGTCCATTCGGATTGGCAAAGTGAATTAGTCATTTCTAATTTTGTTAAATAACTTTGAGTGACTTCAAAAACTGGCATTGAATTGTATAAACCAGGGTATTTTGCGTCTCAATAAATGAGAATTTGTTGTCAGTTTTCATGCCGATTGTAGAGGGCGCCATATACATTACTTCAACTGTGTTTATAATGCTCCAACTTTTTTGTACCACACTGTAGAAAATTTACAGTACTTATGCCTTATAAGGGGACATATACAATCACAATGATCAGAAAATCGATTTTTGTTTTTTTTAATATATTCTTAAATGATAGAATTGTTTTTTTTGTAGTTGCACGGTTTTCGATTTGACAGTGCTAAATAAATCGTACAGTAGTGCGTGATATTATTTTTGATCTGTGGGTGTTTTGTGCAATAAAAATGGCCCATGTCTATGAAAACCATGAACTAGTGGACATAATATTAACTTACGGAGAGTGTCTACAAAATGCACCTCCTCGTTGTTCCTTTAAATACCCTGTGTCGCGGTGTCTTATAACTAAATTTACAGACATCCGAGGAGCCGAATGATTTTGTAAAGGAGACCTTTCCGCGTACAAGCGACATGCTGCTGCTGCATTTTGTTAACACTCCCCGTAAATTAATAATATGTCCACTTGTTTTCATAAACATGTGCCATTTTTATTACACAAAACACCCACAAATCGAAAATAATATCACGCACTACTGTACGAATTATTTAGCACTGTCAAAACGAAAAGCGTACTCAAAACTGTGCAACTACAAAAAAAAGACATACCCAGTATCAATAGTAAACAAACAATTTATGTTTTACAGCTTAGTTGTTGAAAATGACAATAAATCAGGTTTGTATTATAAAGCTTTTAAATTTAAATTTTTTTTAAATAGGTTGTTAATAAATGCTTTATTTGACAACTTTTATACAAACGATTTTCGGTAAATCGACTTTTTTTTACGAGTTCTACCAGCTGTTAAAATAAATGACTCAACTTTGAGTACACCCTGTATACATAATATGATTTTCTACTATTTTTCGCCCATCGTTAATGACTTCAACTTTTTTGATTCGCAGTTGTTGTAACTTTAAAAGAAAATAAACAAAAAATAAAAACTGACTTTCTTTGATTTAGGATTTACTTTCAATGTTACAGGGAATAATATGTCGAAAAACGGGTCATTTTTCTTTTTTTTTTTGTATGTTTGTTGTTCCCCTGAATTTAGCAATGGTTTTTTGGAATAAGCAAACTTGGATTCTTATTTGGGATTTTTCTGTACAATAAAATATATGACTTCAATTACAAACAAACCTACTTTTACTGCTCTATCGCCTGAACTACTTTTATATAACAGAAATTGATTTTGGCAAATTTTTAAAAAAACTATTCCAGTTTACAAATTCTGCAAAAATTTCACATGAAAATTCAATTTTTGTCTTTAAATGCATGCCGTTTCTTCAAATTTGCATTTTTTCCATTTTTCTCAACGTCACAGAAAGTACACGTTTTAAATAAAAAACTTTTTCTATTTGGTCGCAGATCAAATTTCACGTAGAGCTAAGCTATACAACGTTTTGGAAGTCGCGCCACAACCTTGCTGTGACTCTCTACCACAGCTCCGCCATTTTGATGATGAATGAATTAAAAAAAAAATTGTATACATGAATATCCTATTAAAGAACACCTACAGTCCGATGAAGGTAGAATGACTATTTCTTAGTTTAAAAAATTCCTCAAAAACTTGTTTTCCTCCGTCTAATTGTATAAGTCCCGTTAATTTGCTGCAAGTAACTGTTTCTGAGAAATATGAGTTTTGAATCTTTCTCCTAAGTATGGGTGAGATATAACCTAACATCTTACCATTCATATCATATTTTAAATGTCATTGCTACTCAATCTGTAAGAGCACAAAGCATCGTTTTGTATATACTGTCAAAGAGTGACCTGCCAACCTGTAGATGCTATGAAAGTATGACTGATAATATTGTATTTATTGTATAATAGCACTATGTTTAGTTTATGAATCTCGGTGCCACGGACTTCTAATTTGAACTACCTACAAAATCAATCCACCTGACGTGATATGACAACAGTCAATCAGTATTAATCAATAAGTTACAGTTTTTCAGTACGGTGTACTTGTGTGTCTTCATTGCTAATTTTGTGTGTGATATTACGAAAAAAAACATGTATACAAATCAATAACTGCCTATCCAGTAACGCGGTATAGAAATTACAAAAAAAAAAGAAGTAAAAAAAATAAGTTTTCACAACGGAATTTGATAAAATCTACTTATATGTGTGCCTTACCTTTCCTTTTACAATGTTACACCACGGATTGTTCCCGGTGAAGTCCGGTATATAATCCTCCTCCTCCTTCTCCTGTTCCATGGGGGTCGCCTCCACCTGTACACTGGCCTTCGTCGGAAAGCTCTGTTTCCTCCTCGCTGAGCTCTTCTCCATGTTCACCCCCTGCGCCTGCATCGCCCTCTGCTGGTCCTGGAAGAGGGTGTAGTTGAGGACGTGCGGCGGCGCCGGCGTGATGCTCATCCCCAGCCTCCGGCAAGTTATCAGCTTCCTGAGTAACTGACTGGCCTCGCCTGACAGCGGGGTGGAGGGGTTGTAGCCGTTCTGGGAGAGGGCCCGCCATAACGAGGAGTCGGGTTCGTTCTCCCTGCCCGTTTCCGGGACGGGGGAGGTGCCGCTTCGGGTCGTGGAGTTGCTGTGCTCTTCTGTCGCCTAAAAAATACATATAAGACAATACGTCTGTGATCGGAAGAAAAAAAAAACATGGAAAAAATAACTCAAATTAATATTTTACTAGTAATGCAACGAGGCATTTGCCTCAAAAAAAAAGTGTAGTGTCTTGTCACCGAATATTGTTCTAGAAAGAAACTAACGTACAAGCAACTTTGCCTTAGAATCAACAACAAGAACTGTAACAAACATCAGGTAGGGCCTAGGGGTTCTGACAGCGGATCCGCCTCCATAAAGCCTAGCCCGAGAACAACAACAGCAAATCCTAGATAAAACTAGGGAAATGCAATGTAAGTCTGCAGTTGGCGACAAACTGGACAAAGATACATTAACCCAAATATCACAATTTGACCTAAGATTATCTATTAGTACCTCTGCTCCTTCATTTAAGCACACCCTGTATAAAATTATCGATAACCTGTGTTGCAAGCTATAAAATAATACACGGGAATTAAATGTAAACACGAGCATAAAGATGAGGGACAAACGGGTTCTCAATGAGTTTTTTTAATGTTTGCTGATGTTTTATGTGACGGTAATAGCACATGACGGGCATATTGATTGTTGTACGGTGACAGATGTTTGATATTTATCATTATATTCGATCCGAGAATCTTTTCAATTGTCCAGTTCTAATACATTGTATTGGTTCTTAACAAGGCCTACTAGATATGATATTATTTTAACCAGAAACTGAATAATTACAGTTTAATCAATATTTGCGATATACCGAACGAGCAAAACTGTCAGTTTAATAAAAATTGGTAGTTAAATTTGAAATATACATGAAAAAATTATACCCTCTAATGTGTTGTACAGGATGGTCACTTTTAAGGTGTACACCATTAGTATATCCTGAACTAGAAGATATACAGGGTTACCCATATACATCCTTGACTTCATTTAATGCTTAATCTAAGGGTTCAAAAATCCAATATGGCGTCCAAATGTTGGTCAAGAAAACATAAGGATCTAGAAGGCCTACAATCGATAGAGCATATGCAACTTTCTTGTAATTTAACCATCCCTGTATATCTTCTAGTTCAGGAAATATTAATAGTATACACCTTAAAAGTGACCACTCTGTATAATGATGTGGTACTATCGGTTCAAGAAAAACCCAACATGTTCATGTTAAACGAGACAAGAATAATGATAAATAATAATTATTTTGTTCAATAACCTCATATATATTAATTTAAAATTATATTATTAAAATACTTATTATTACAATGTTATTTTCAATTTTCCATAGTTATTTATACCTGTTATAACGGTCAGCAAGTTCCCGTAGATTAGCAATTTCTATTTACTCCTAATTGATGTCTGTAACTATTAACTATACTTATTATCTACCTGAGCATATGTTGCAGAAGTCTGGTTGATATAAATTGGAATTTCACACAAACTGGCATACTTAGTATTGTTGGAGTCGGACGACCCAGAAATAGATGAAATTCAATGTTGACTTTTTAGATAAAAATGTAAAAACTGTGTTTCTTTACAGGAATCTTAAATTTTGTGGACTTATTCCTAAGGACTGCTAATTTTAACAACATTGCAATGATTTGGAGCCATTTTCGAAAAATATTAATTCAAATGTCGCTGTATACAGTGTCCCAAAATTTTAACAAGACATTTGACTCGTCAAAAGCAGTAACTTTTGAGCAATATTTTGTCCAAAAACTTCTTAATTTTAAAGACAAAGTAATTTTTAAACATTTTAAATTTTAGTTACTCGCCACTAGAGCATCAGTCAATTAATACTAGTGTTATTGTGTTAGCAAAAAGTTTCGAGATAATCGGATTTATTTTCTGCAATTTCTTAATCAATTCCTTAAAATTCCTGGGAAATTTAACAAAATTTTTATATTGTACCAATTTGGCTAATTTCTTGGTTAATTTATTGGATCAAAATTGTATAAAACAAACCAAATAAACCGAATAATTGTATTGTATTAATGAAGAACCGCAGTATCACAGTTAGTTTTTTTACCTTATAATCCGTAAAAAAAAATTTGAAATTGGCCAAAAAGTAAAGAAGTTACAGGTTTGTATCATATTTAAGTGCAACACCCTGTATGTTTTTTATTTTTTGGCTTGTCGTGTATGCTGTTTGACTGAGAGACATCCTAAGTGCATGTACTATAGTTATCGAACATGCACCAACTTTTGACGGTGTGCAATATTTTTGTTTGCAAACAGGACAAAGTTTTCCCATTTGTTACACACTTAATAGCGCATACTGTATATGAATAATAAATTATCACAATCGGAAATTGCAATCGTACCAATTTTAGTGAAATTCTACAATTTTGACATTTGTTTTTACCTTAAATATAGAAGTTATATGATTATTATTGCAGTTATAAAAGTACTGTTTTTATTGTATTATTAAAGGGGCAATTCTGTATCTCACCATCAATTTTAAACACATTTTAAATCTTTATCAGATCTGTTAAATATTCGTTATGAATTTCTATTCTGTCAAAGTTTAAAACGATCATTAATAACAAAATAATTTTAGCAGCATGTTAAACATCTGATGAAGTAGTTCAAATGTCTCGACTTTAGTCACAGATTGTTGGTAATCAGAAGACACCAAAATTTCTATATTCCTTGGAAGAAAACTATTTTTTAATTTCAAATAATCAATATATGGCAACAATTTACTGTATTTTGTGTTCGTTTGAAGGTCATGTAAAATTTTTTTGTTCCGTTAACAACATTAAACAAACAATAAATTGGGCATTTTTTTGCAGCAAGTAGTGACAAATATAACGAACTATAACAATTTCTTGATCAAGAATTGGCAAATGTAAGACACGTTTAAATCTATATTCCAAATTATTCCCCAAAACACTCCGATCGACTTACCTGCGACATATCAACTTCCAACCTCTCAGGATCTGAGCTATTGCTATAAACAGAAGCGTTATCGTTCTCCTCTTTTATAAAATCGATCTCGGGAACACAAGTGAGGTTCTCCGGCCTCTTATTAGACAGGTCCGCAGGCTCCACAGGACTTATCCTGCCCTCCGCCTCCGGTTGCCTGTCCAAGAAGTTAGCCACGTCCTGGTTAAGGATCCTGGGTGGAGCGACGACAACCGGTTGCTCTTCCACACTGTACTGCAAGAGACTGGGCGGTTTGACCTTTATCAGGGGCTCCCTCGTGGAGTCCGGTAAGTGTTCCCTTGGTGGTTCGGGTTGCGTGTGCTGGTGATTATTGTCTATGTGTGGAGGAGGGTTCTCGGACTCGCGCGGTATTGCTGTTATGGTGAGTTCAGGTTGTTCCTGCTTGACTTCTTTCGTAATACTGCAAGGTAATTCGGGTGGTTCTACTTTTAAGTCTTCTGGGTTAATTGGCAAAGATGCGGTCAGGGTGTCGAGGACTTTTTCGGACTGGCACATGTTTTCCTAGAGAAAAAAGAATACAATTACAGTACAGGTCCGAGAAAATTGAATTATTAATTAATTTAATTAATTCGTTATTTATATTGCCAATGATCTTTTTACTGAAATGTCAAAATTTCATAGCAAGTAATAGTTGGTATTTTGAGCTTCCAATCGTGTAGCTCAAAAAACGGGCACCCATTATAATTCGCGATTTTTTAAATTTGTGTCAAATTTCTTCTCAGAAAATGTAATTAAACTTTTTCAGTGGATTATGTATTATTATCATTAATATTGAATTACATAAAAAAATATTTTATTTTTTCAGATTACAAAAATCGAAAAATATATGTATAGTATATTCGATTTAAAAAATATAACTACGAAATCGGAAGTTATAGAAAAATATCGCGCACGTCACAGAATTCTCCGTAAAAAAAACTGCATAAAAAAACCTCAGAAGTCAAATACTTCCACAAAATTGTATTCAACATCACAAAAATAAAGAGAAAAACTTATCCCTAGAGGTCGAGAACTATCGATAGTTTCTCGATAGTGACTAAATAACGCATCATCTGGCAACTATTTATGTTACATTTATGTTAGGGGGTTTACGAAAATTAACTGGTAGTGATCTAGACATATTGTTCTCTCTCTCTAAAACCATAAGAATGACAAAGATAAAGATAGTGATCTGAGCAGTCTAAATGAATTTTCGAAAACGCCTTTTGTGTTTTGTGACACTTCTAACCTCCCTGCTTCTAACGATCGTTGATTGTATTTGTATTCTGTAGTCTGTTGTCTGTGGTTGCAATAGTGAATACTTACATTTTAATTAATATATATTTTTTAATTTTATACATTTATTTATTTAGTTTGTATTTATTTGCTTTAATTTTATATTTAAATTTCCACTATCGAAGATCTATCGATAGCTATCGATCGTTTGATCGTTGACTATCGATAATTATCGATGGTGCTGACTATCGACAGTTCTCGACACAAAACAGAAAAAAGACTCGACCTCTACTCATGGCGATTTCCATTCAGAAAATTGGTGCACACTGAGTACACCATTGACGTTCAATTGGTCAAGTCGGTGCAAATTTTCAAATTCCATTGGAAAACTAGAGCAACAGTTCTTGCTCTAAGTGCATATTATTTCGCGCGAGGTCTTGGAGCTGGCGTCAGTGCAAGAACAAATGGCGGTAAATATGGACGAAGTTGCTCCATTATTATCGTTTTTATCAAGTAGTAGTAGTGATGATGATGAAATGTATACTTTTTTTCGCGACTGAATATTGGTGAATATCTGACTTGTAGTTACTATTTCTATCTCTTTTGATCTTAATTGTCATATGGTAGTTTAATTCTCTTCTTTCACTCATACTACACATACTACAACATACGACTTCACTCGCGAAAAAAAACTAATGTTATACCCTCCCTGGTTACACCAGTTATACGCAAACAACTGCCAAAAGTGGAAGGATTCATTGAAAATGTCATCTACAAACTTACATCAGTGATCCGTTTCATGTACAGGAATACATAATGTAACTTCCTCGTCGTTTATTTTAAATTTCAAATTTAATTCTTGGTTCATTGTAACTACCTTCTTTGAAAAACTTCAACTGGTCAACTGTTACTTTGACTGAATAAAAATCGAAACATAAACATAACCTATAATGTCAGAAACCCACGCAAAAATTGTCATTCCATTGAGATTGCACCAGAGCATATTTCTCATACAACCAGTGTAGTGTCAGTGCTGCCCGAGTGCAGCCCCAGTTTTCCCCAATGGAAATCGCTATCACTCATCCTCCACAAACAAGTGTTGAATTTGTCCCACCCTGTACTGACAGCAGCGCCTCAAGCGTTTGCGCAAGCAACTATTAGTGAAACGCGGGTATTTTAAATTAAATTACTTAAAATTTATATTAAGAATGATAAACGTTCCATGTAAGTACGATATAATTAATAATATTCGTTTTTACCTATCTTTTACTGAAAATTAAGTAAAATTAACTACATAGAACTGATTTTTAGCACATCCTTACAAGACCGTGCATTTCCAGTCCGTTGTATTACAAAAAAATGTAGTAGATTGTATTGCAGGTTGCATTTCGCGAACTCTGAGAGGTAAAAGGTAGCATAAACACCTGCGCTTACTCAAAATGCAAATAAAAGCGTTCTATTGCATACAGACACGTACACCTTATTAGGGCTAACGCATTGTGAACAACAATTAAAATATTTCTTTGTGTTAGACAAAACAAAATTCGCATTAAAATCCCTTGACTCACCGATTGAGAAGTGCCGCACTTAGTTTAAACGGTAACGCGCAAACGAACCTTACCCTGTTCACATGGTTTGCGTTGTACCTTGCTCTAATTATTAAGAAAAAATAATAATGATAAAGCATGTCAACAAATGTGGAAGTTTACACGATAGTGTGTAATACTTTGTACAACAATTCACCCATTTTATCAAGTTGCACGCGGTGGTAAGTGCACATTTCTAACGGGTAAAGGTAGAACCAAATTTGATTTTACCGGGTTGGTACATAGTTAATTAGGAGAGGCAATTGCTAGATAAATAATAGGTATAATAAACGTTTTTATCAAAATACGATGACTGAAAATCGTGTTGATAAGGAAGATAAGGAAGTATTGCAGTTGTCGGATCCATTTTGTACAAGCCCAGTGTGTAGTGAAATAGAGTGAAAATGAAGAAATTTATAGTGGTAAGTTTGAAAATAACATTTAAACAGTATACAGAGCGTTACATTTATGTGTACGCTAGAATCATAAGTGTAGATACTTTTCTATACCCCAGACAGTTTGACTGCATACAACCAAAGGGCGGCAAGTATTTTAAAAAAGTACTATTCCAAAATATTAAATATTCTCGTCTAAGAAATTATGAATTTTTTACACAAAATTTTCACAATAAATGCCACTAGCAAACAAATACCTTATTAATCTTAGCTTTAATCAATTTTTATTTATAGATGATTCACATGTTGATAATTATTAAATATATCCCATCTTTCTAGATTTAATTGACAATAAAAATAATAATAATAAAACCATTGGAACTTAAATTAACATCCTGCGACACCATGAATTTTTCACAGCGTGCTATCTGACATAAGTTATTCCAAAAATTTATTTTATTTAAAGTTTGTTTGTACGCAGAAAATTAGGACTAAGTAAATGTTTTCCCTGATTATCATTCAAATTATCTTACGTCGAGATAACACAACATTTATTACATCGTCTTAGTGTTCGTCTTATTTAGGTTTAAGCATATAAAGCAAACATTACACGTAAAAAATTTTTACACACATTCCTAAATAATTTGTTCGGGGTGGGCAACAAAACTGGTTATATCTGAAAATGGGAATTTAACGTTTCATATGTTGACAAAATAATTCTTGTCCAAAGTCGTCGCTTTCGTCAAAGATTAGATTTAAAATGAAAGGTTCTTGTCCCCAACCTTTGTTTTATAAATGCATATAAGTGGGCTATGATTCCTAATCTGCAAAATTTCTAGAACGCGTTGTCATTAAAAAATAATAATAATAATAATAATAATAATAATAATAATAATAATAATGATATTTGAATTT